CCTAAAGTCAACACAAATTCGTGTCTTGCCCGATTTTTTCCTAACAAAACAATTGGCGAAGCATATTCTGAACACGACGGCTTTATAATCCATCCTTTAACCATTTATCTATTTGATTATCACAATTTTTGGTCAGCAAAAGGAATTCTCCTCGAACGCTGAGAAACGGAATATCGTCTTTTAATATTACTTTCATTTTTAAGTCGTACTGCGCGGCTTTTAACGGTTTATAATTAATAAGGTGGAAACAGTATGCGTAATCCTTCATCTTTAATATGCCATAAATGTGTTTCGCTGTCTGCCTCAATGGCTGCAGAAATAAAAGACAAAAATTCCTTTCGAGGACGGAATCATTTGCATATTGCGTATTCATCATTTGGTCACAACAGATCATTTTAGACAGGAAGGGGGCAAAATACAGTCTGTTATCAATTCATCAACTATCGCTGCTCAATCTCTTTTATTTTCGCATAAAGAAAAAAAACTTAGCCGTTTCCGCTTTAACCACGTGACCAAACGAACTTTGAGCTCGATACATCCACTTGATAATTTATTCGAAAAAGGGATTTCTTACAACTATCAATTCACTTCCAGAATCTATTAAACATTTTACTTTTTTACCATCAATCAACAGTTCATAATTCTAACTTATTTCTAGCTGCATTATCCGAGTCAATCTCTAACCCAGATACCTTTTTTGGAGACAACTTCCTCCTTCCTAACCGTTTGGACAATTTCTAGCAAAATGAAATAATTCCCCTTTACTCCCAAAACATAGCAAACGTTCTAGTTACTATACCTGATTTACAAACTTCTCTGAATCTTGAATTGCTCTGAGCTTTTTTAAGATGTTTTTGGAAAAATCTTTTTTTTTCTGGAGTTTCGATTCGTGTGTTATTGGTATCAACTAAAGATTTACCCTGGATGAATAAATAAATCACATTCTCTTCCCAATTGATTAGGTGGGAACCAACTTTGACCTCCCGAACACTAATATGTTCCTTTGTTTTAGAATCAAGAGTTTCATACAACTTATCGAACAATAAGATCACACATTCTTAAGTCATCTACCTCTCTGACTTGCAATAATAATTGAAAGTTGCACTGAGTCGAGACGCGAACAGAACATGCGATTCAGATGAATGTCTCTGCGCATTTTTAAAATTTCAAACACTCACGCGGTGTTGGCTGAAATTCTTTCAAGATTAGAGTTTTAATTTATCATAATCCGCGATTTCTTGTTCAAAACATACGTAGAACATTATTACATTTATCACCTAACAATTAATCAACACTTATGATTTAACTCCACTGGTACACTTTTAGTAGTAAAAGCTTTCTCAAGTGACTGAAAAAAAAATGCATAGCTTCCGGTTTTCTGAGGTACAGCTATAGTTAGTGTTTTGACGCTTTAATGATATCTTCAACACTAGTCTGCACGTTTCTTCCATCACTTGATAGATTGTGATTTTAAACTTTCTAATTCAATCTGCTTCTCAATTTGAGCTAATTGAAGACGTTCGATCTCTAGCAGATAGTGTTCATTACTGTTTTAGGCGTTGATCCTGCGATCGACTTGACGACGCCACGAACAAATTCAACGTTCGTTTGAAACCATCAGAATTTCAATAATTTTTTTAATGTCACTTTTTAGCATTTTCTGGAACAGTCGGCCCAATTTGGGTTCCGCAATTACTATTAATCACTTTTCTTTAAATTTTTAGGAAACTCATTTTAAAATCGAAACAAAATATCACGATCTTCAAGAAAGAAATAAAGCAAAGTTTCACAGTACTTTTTTGAAGTATCCAAATATCCCAATATCCCGAACAGGCCCCCAGATTTTCTGTAGTAGGGGAGTTGAAGATGCTAATTAACAATCTCAACTTTGTTTTCCACACCACAGAACATTTAATAAAGATAATCAGAAAAGGTACAAATTAGATTAAATACAAGTGCCGTTTGATACAAAGAGGATTCTGTATAGCTTTTACCAGTCTTATCACATAACCGATTAGTGCCTACTCGCATTTGCTGATGTATTAAACAGTCCAATTTACCACCTTCGCGTGGAAAACTACAGTTCCTTATTCTACACCTTCACGTGTAGACAGACATCTCACCACCTTCACGTGGGATAGCAGAAGAGTCCCTGTCATACTCCTCTTTCACCTCGCTGCTGGCGCATCGGTGAGGCCCTCTGGTGGTTGTGTCACACTTACAGATACTACATATATTAAGATTGAGATCGCAAACATTTTCTAGTTTTGCTTTAACAACATTAAGTCAAGTCTTTTCTAACACAGTTTTATCTCCAAATTAATAAACAGAATGTGATTCTTTTCTAATAATCGGAAGCTTCATTTTACTAGATACATCTTTAGTTATGAAAGATCTCATTGAGCCATTATCAAAAAGAATTCTCACATTTTCAGATTTATCATTATTTCGAATCAATGCAGAAATCATTTGTAATAATAAAAAAGTCCTATTAAAATCACAATCTAGTAAAATTTTATAGTTTAAAATACATGTAATCTATGACATTGATTCTTAAACGATATTAGGGTAATTCCACATTAAAAGCTACAAAACATTTGTATTTCGTAGCTTTTAATGTGCTTATGTTTTGTAGCAACAACACAAAACAAAATATTTATGCATCTTTTTAATTTTAAGCCTTCCCAGACAGTTTCGCTAATTTAAATTGATTTCCTTCTCTTTAAGCGTCTTTTCTAACAATCAGAAATTTGTCACAATAGGCAAACTAATTTTCTCACTAGTTTCTGCATATGTTTCATTGTTCTTCCAGACGTTCTCCAAAAAGCAAGAAATGTATCGCAAACTTTCTGTAAAATATATCCATTATGTGCTAATACCATGGAGACATTGTTCATTTTATCACATTTTTCTGGAATCTTCTAGAAGCATAGCTCTATAAATCTTGCCTTCATATCCTTCTAAACTTTCCAAGCTGCAATATCTAAATAGCATAGAAAAATTACCCCTACCAATTCTGTAACAGTGAAAAACTAGAGATGTTTTGGAAAAAAAAATCAGAAGGAAAAAGTGCAAAATAAATTTTATAGAGAAAACTGATGTATATTCTGAGAAAAGAGAAAAACTCTTACCATAAAAAATCTAAAAAGACATTTTTAAATAATTACATAGCTATTCTGCTTTTGTTAAAAACTGTTTCATAAATTGTGCTTTAAACCTTGTCTATTTTTCAGATTCCAAATATTGTATAATAAGTGGCCTACATGGAACTTTATAACATGACAGCAAAAATTAAAAATGTTTTATTTTAATGTCATTTTTTAAATATAATTTCATATATTACCATTACTTTAATGAAATGAATCAGTGTTTTAAAAAAATCGTTGAAAAATCTCCACATCTTGGAATTAAAAATTTTCTATATAGACTGATCTTAAAATCGCCAAAATATTGCTAAATTTAGAGCTGTTTAATAAAAGAATCCACATCCTCAAAAGTGAAAAGCTATTTAAGAGTTCTTCATTAGAAAAAATTAAATAGTTTTGATATGCTTTATGTTGCCTTCTTTCACTCTGAAACTCGATTATCCCACCATTTATATTAGAAATAGGAACAAATTATAACTCATGAACCCATTCAAAAGATAAGCATATTTATCAGTGAATTGCCAAAAATATTTCTCCAAAATGCTAATTCTAAAATGGCAGACTTAAAAACGGATATAAATTTCAGATGATTAAAATTAAGGACCTTCTGTGGATTTTGGCCAAAATTAAAGACTTAAGGATCAAAAATCGATTCTGAAAAATCTAAAAACTTGTAAGGACCGTACGAACCCTGCCCTGCACATGTGATACGTTATTTTCAATTAGTCTTACATGAGTCACTGACACAAGAATTTGAGCAGATTTTTAACATTTTCCAAGTAAATAAGCTATAAATAAATAAATAAATAAATAAATAAAAAGGTTTCACAATCTGAATGTTTATTATTAGTTATTTGAGTATACCAGGTGTATTATTTAGCTCCTTTCTGTATGCCATACACCTAAACACTGCATACATTTGCTATGGCAATAGTTGATTTAGGTAAAAGGTGATCTGTAAGGAGTTATCTCGTAGCTGGCAAATAAATTCAGTTTGCCAAATACAAATATTCATTCTCATAGTTGGCAGCAAAAGTGCTAACCACATTTTTAAAGCTATGTAATGAACATACATTACTATTTAATTTCAATTAAATTAAATGTAAAGCAATTAACAGAAGACTTGTGTTGTTGTAAGAAGTGAGTGTTGTAAGAAACAGTTTTGTATTAACATTAAATAAATAAATTTTCAAAACAGTGATGAATAGTTTTAAACATCTTGATAGTTGGTTTAATTTGCAATCACTTGAAAACTATCTGCTTAAACATCTTGATGAAGAATTATTTGAGGTGTTGCAATTGCAGATATTGCATCCTGGCAAAATAGAAATATTGCCAGAGAGAAATATCTGTTACAAGAAAATTGAAATAAATGCACAGCCCATGTCCTGAATAATTAATTCTCTATATAATGTTAAAATAACACAACAATTTTTTTTCCTATCTTTTTGCCATTTTTAACTTACTAAGATTTTATAATTTATATCTTTAATTTCTGAGTGACTAATTTTTAAATTAAAAGGTCTACTGTAACTGTTAGCTTAAAAACTGTTTAAATGTTAAAACTAAAATAGCAAGAGCATATCACAATTTTATCTTTCATTTTTTAAACCATCACAATTTTTTTTTTTTTTTTTTATTTTTATTTTTATTTTTTTTTTAAGAAAAGACATACTTTTCAATAGGATTTTGGTTTAATGGTGAAGGCAGCAATTCAAAGTACATTTTCATTTACAATTGTTTTACTGCCTTATACAGAAATAGAAGTATATTTTTTTACTCATCTAAACAGACAATGCAGTATGTGCAAAATAATCATTCAATAAATATAATTTTTAAAAAACTGAAACTAACTGCACTCATAAAATTTTTATTACTTATAAAGTACAGAGCAATAACAAAATACTCATTAAAAATTTAGAGCATTTTCATATATCATAGTTTTATTGACTTGTTACTTTCTGTCAATGAAAAGTTAAAAATACTTTTTTTTTTTTTCAAATTTCAGACAGAAAATGATGAGCTAGAGCTGGAATGGGAGCACCAGAAGGAATACCAGGAAAGGGTCCTGATGAAGCAGCAATATCAATGTGGCAGTATTTCAGAGGCTTCTCAGAATTTACATCATGCTAATAAAAAAATTTAAAAAAAAAATTTTAATAAGATTATGTAATTTTTTATATACATAATATCTAGTGCTTAAGCTGTAAATTCTTTATTAGATAGTAAGCTAATTAATAATATTAGATAATAATCTTGTAAGTCAACTTATTAAATAATACCAAGACTGAAAACCAAGACTGAAAGTCAAAAAATCCCATCTAAAATTTCTACAATTTTAATTTGTAAACTGAAGCAATAAATTGTAAAATGGCTCTTTACTGAGTCACAGCAAAACTACTGACGAATTTGATCTGTTTCACGTTTATAAAATTCGACTGAGCAATACAAAATAGTAAATTCTATCAATATGACATCCATAAGACCATATTTTCAAAATAAAAATATTTGTTCATTTTCAAAAAGATCAACAGTTAACCATTAAGATTTAAATTTATCAATAATCAAAGATGATATGTATTACTCATGTTGATAAAAACTCTTTTTATATGTATGCTTTTAATTTTCTTTTTGCAGTAAACATTTTAATAAAATTAAAATACATTTCCATCCATTTTCCACAAATATAAAATAACAACATAAACTGAGTACACAAAACCTTTCATCCAGTACCTCTACATATACTGCTAGTCATTAAAATTGCAGAATCATATTTATTTTACACCATAAAGGAGTGATGAAATGATAAAAATTTCACATCACTTTAAGATACAGAGCTTATCGAAAATAGCATCCACTTCTAGCAACAACAGCAGCTGTTATTAACTGGACACGAAATCAAAAACAGACATGAAGAAAACTGACACTAATACTGCAGTTCATGCAGCTTAAATTCTGTATCAAATTTCATCTATCATACTGCTTGGGAATGCTCTCATGCCAGTCTCTCTGCAACCACTGACCATATGTTTCCAGATGATAAGAGATCTGGAGAATGTATGTACCAAGGCAGAAGTCAACCACCTTGAGCATTAATGAAATCTAGGATGAAGCAATAGGCAGTCCTGCAATGTCCTGTTGAAAACGGCATGACGAAGACACCAAAGATGGCCACAAGTTTTAAATCCTCAGTAGCCTGATGGTATCTGTTCAAAGCATTACATATACGAACTAAATATTAATGTGATATGTACCTAATGGCACTTCATACCACTGATCTAGGTGCTGGACTAATATGATGATGAAGAATGTAAGCTTTTAATAAACTTATGCATTCACACATAGATATGACCATCAAGATGCTGTGGAGAGGAAACAGGGATTCATTAGAATAAACAATGTCACACTGCTGATGCATTCATATGTGACATTAAATGCACCACTGTAAGCACTGATTGCTGAGCTGTAGCATCAAAAGAAAGTGAAAAAATGGTTCACAATCCATAGCACAACAGACACTGTCATGCTGTACATGTAGTTCTAGTTGTCACGCAATCCACAGTTTCTTAATCCAAAGTATCTGATGTGATTATATGATTCTTAATTAAGATGCAGATAAGATGTATGTTGTCTTGGGTACTGTGATATCATACATCATTCTGCGTGACCATCCTAAACATAGCAACAGCAATCATTGGATCTTGAAAATAGTTACAGCAACTGTGCAGTATGATAATCTGCAGTCATAATTGGTTACAATTCTTTTGCAATCAACTTTGAAGACCTAGTATGATTCCCTTCTTCTTTCACAAGACAAAACACAACCTCTCCCCCTCCCCAAGAAAGCAATTTCTGAATAAAAAATCAGTATTTTAATCTGCCTTTTTGTTATTGTTTCTAGGTAACATTTCTCTTGCATACCACAGTAAGTTTACCAAGCACTTCCCTAATGGTATAGCAATTTTAATGACCATCATTATAAGATAACACACGTCTATATATACAGAGAGGCTTGGTGGTTTAATGGCTAGTGCTTCACGCAGCAGCACCACAGGTCCTGGGTTCGATACCCAAGCTGGACAAGGTTGACTCAGCATTTCATTCCTTGAATGGGTCCATAAAATGAATACCAAGTTCACTTGGGGACTAAGCACCAGGGGTCCTGCAACAAGCTGACCAGGTCATATTTCTTTCACATGACAACCTGTCCAGAGCCCTGAGGTGTATGAGCACCTCAAAGCCCACATTCAGGAAGCAGATATCAGGGTACTGCAGATCATGGCCTATCACAGGCTGTTGTGCCATTGAGTTTTATATGTAAGAAAAATAAAGAATATGTGAAAGATCAAATTAGCAACTTAAATTACCTTCTGTATTATATTATAAAAATAGTAACCTCTACTTGCATTGTGTCATTTCGAGATTAATCCACGTCATGTGATTCTTACGTAATTCTGATGATGTAAATGGAACTAAAATTCGAACAGCCAATAGCAATATTAACTATCTAATCAAAATGCATTGAGCACCAAAACTAACTCAGTCTGAATTAAGTTTTCGCCATGTTTCGCTTAGCTTGACTGCAGTCTGTTTGCTCCTTCTATCTTACATAAAATGTAAATTTTTTTGAATAGGCACAATTAATGTGCCAACTTGATTGTGGCCGCAACATGTTTGCTGAAACAAAAAAAGAAGATTTAATCAGCCTTCACCTCTAATTTCCTATTCATTATGGATCAACACTTCTACGCCATCAAAATTCCTGCTGGTCATTGCTTCCGAGTTTGATTTTATCACATACACTCACATATATAATATATAAATATGTAAGATATAAACTATGAAAGAAAATTAACAACTTTAATTTGGCAATAGGCCTTTTTATTCCCCACTTTAATTTGGCTGCCTACTTTTTCTGTCCTACAAGTAGAAATTGTCTTTTCAAAATTAATCTGTTTCATGCTTGCTGCTAATGTAATCCTGCTACTATGCCGGCAGTTCTTATCCAGTCAGATATCTCATGCTTCACTGATGCATGACCTTTTACTCTGCTTTCCTTCCTTGCGGCTAACACATATTACTGCTGTTTTCTGTGTATCATCCATTGTCTTAAGAGTTGCTAAGTTTTAAAAAACTATGGGATACATATTGCACCTATAAAGATCTGTTAATCAAATATTGTGTTTCTAGAATTTCTTTATCCAATAATGAAATTATATTTAATTTGGCTACTCTATCATTCTATCTATGTATAAAAATCTCTCCATTATTTCCAAGTAACATTTCATCTTTAACAGCTACCTCTCTAATAATACCATTACAATTTAAAAGTTGGACAGGATTCCTCAAGTACATGGGCACTTCCAATGGAAAGTTTAATGGAATTCATAAAAAAAATACAGTAATAAGAAGTGAAAAACAAAATTCTTCTCATCATACTGCTGCAGCTTTTAATAGTGCATCATGTAACCTACCAGTGTTGATTTAATGATTACCACTGCCTTGAAAGTCGTTAATTTTTGTTTAAAAAATGTGCTTCAGGTTTGTGTGTAATAAATTAATTTTCACGTTTGTCAATTAAAAAAAAAAAAAAAAAAACCTCAAAACTACAATTCCTAATTAAACTATTATGTATACATATTATTATGAAATGTCCAGCTGGGTTAAGATAGCTTCTCTACAAAGCGAGTTTGTGGTTGCCAGAAAATGGCAAGGAAAGACAGGGTTGCCACATCTGGCATGAAATCGCTCATTTGGCGACAAATTTGGTGATGTGCCATACACAAAGCGAGAATATTCTAGAACAAATTCTTAAAGGTTTACCCCAGAATGTTCTTGAAGGCAGGTCAAAAGCTATATAAATCCTGCTTGTATGTGGAGTAGGAGTGTATCGTGAAGAGTGTCTTGAGGATATTGAGTTCCAAGGGCGACTGACCAAGTCAAGAGCAGTATTTAGTGCTTTGTCATAAAGCTGACTTCACTGTTACAGCCTGATGGCTGTGTAGCTGATTGTTTCAGCATGTTTAAAATAGTCTTTTCAATGACTGTAACACGTCTTTAAAACTGTCCTGTGAAATACTGATGAATAAATTGTGTTTTGTTTCTTTTCAAGTGTTGTCATAAATCACTCTAAATCCACGAACTTGTAGAACACGACAATATATAAGATATGAATATGTATTTTTATATACCGTAACTGCTGAATTAGCTTACTTTATCTAAACCAGATGTCATGATTAGAAATGCAGCAGGACCTTGATGACCACGAGCTGTACGGGAAGAAGGACTATTATTGCATTGTAGAACATCTTCATACTCAGATTTTCCTTTGTGAAATTCATAATCCTGAAAAAGAGAAAACAAAAGACTTAAATAAATTAATCAATACACATACTGCAATCATTCACTGTAAAAAAAAAAAGAAGGTTTTAGAATTTTCTACCATTCTTAATTATTTTCAATAACTCTTACAATTATCACAAAAAATGAAAATATTCAAACACATTGGTATTATCACCATTTTGAAATTACTAACAAAGAGATATAAAACAGCTTATCAAACAACAAGTCCTTGCAATGAAAATGAAATTTAGCAATAGTACAGTTTCATACAAATAAATATTTCATACTGCAATTAAGGCACAATAACACGCCGAATAAGTACTAATTCAGAAGTCAAACAACAAAAATCAGCGTTAATTTTCAAAATTTTCACAGAACTAGTTTCGATGGTTTTACCGAACCACCATCCTCAGCTGCAAACCCGCAAAATCAATTTTGCGGGTTTGCAGCTGAGGATGGTGGTTCGGTAAAACCATCGAAACTAGTTCTGTGAAAATTTTGAAAATTAACGCTGATTTTTGTTGTTTGACTTCTGAATTGCATACTGCAGTTGCATATGAATGAAGAAAAACTATGGGAAACAGCATATGGAAAAATAATGTAGTTTAGGATTTAAAAAAATCTGTTAATAGCTTTATGACATTCCACAAGTAGAGATTATTACTTTTACAAAGTGGAGGGAAATCAGTGCAAAGATTATAACTACAATTAGCTGAATATTGCCTTAATTAAATTATTACAAAGGAATCTCTGGGTGAAACTGAACATCACCACATTTAATAAATTATTACAAACAAAAATTAGTTAAATTATGCATTTTTTGGCAAATACATTATGAGTGATTTGACAATAAAATTTTACAAAGGAGACATAGGTGAAAAGTAAATTAGTAATTCACAGATTAAATTTACCAATAAAATTTGAATTTATTCTTTTCTCTGATATCTACTGAAAAAATTCAATGCATTTTGCCAGACAAAAACAATAGTATCTACGGTTCATGTAACTGAAAGTTCCAATTAGCAATATACATTGCTGGCCATTAAAATTGCAACACCAGGAAGGAATGATCTGATGAACGTCAAAATCTTATGAAAGGAAGAAGAGGTTGGGATATACAAATGATTAGTATTTCAGCATATTTAGACAATGCAGGAGGGAGAAACGACATCTGAAGCACTGCATAAAAGAAAAGTTGTGTAGTGGACTTCTGTTTCAGAAAGTGCTTTGTAAGGTTGGAGTTTGCTCAGAATATCATTGTGCCTCGAATAAGAAGAAATGCTTACCAGCAAGTTTCAAAATTCGATAGAGGCAAGGTTATTACCTATCGAAATTGTAGATTATCGTTCTGTAATATCGCCAGTCACACTGGTTGACATCCAAACACTGTCATGCAAATATGGAATCAATGGATTGCTGAGGGTCATACTGAACGGCATACAGGAGCTCCCATAAATAATGTCCTAGAGGACTGACATATTATGAGATCAACCCTGTAAAGCTGTACGACCACATCACAGACCATTAGTCAGGAAATGGGCATGTTTGCAGTATGCCCAGTATCAGCTTGTAAGGAGCGGCATTCAGTCTCATAAGGAGCATAAGGTATCAGCATTACTTTGGCTTCCTTTGGCAATGCAGCATGGAGAGAGGTGCCAACTCTGATGTGCCAAATGACAAAGTTGGGTACAGGAGTGGCAGAATATTGCCTTTTCAAACAAATTCCAGTTCTAGATGCAGTATTCTGATGGCCGTATACGTATCTGGAGTGTCCAAGGAGATTGCATATCGCTGCTTGCATTCGATATCGGCATAAGGGCCCTGCACCTGGTGTGATGGTTTGGGAAGCTATTGGGTACATGGCACACACATATCTAATTCAGATTGATAGTAATTTGAACACAGATGGGTACATTTCTGACATCTTATGTCCAGTGGTTGTACCCTATCTTCAAGGGCACCAAACACCATGTTCCAACAAGATAATGCAAGACCACATGTTGCACGTCGTGTTCTGACCTTCTTCAATACACAAGGTATTCAATTGCTGCCCTAGCCTGCATGGTCTCGAGATCTGTCACCCACTGAAAACATCAGGTCATGGGTTGCTAAGAGATTGGCCCCCTACCCCTCTCCAATTAATACAGTTGATAAAGTGTGGCATAGACTTAAAGCAGCATGAAATGAGTTGTCCACTTCTGCCATCCAAGCCCAGTTTGACTCCATGTCTAATGGGGTAAGGCCTGTTTTAGCTGTCAGGGGTGGCAGCTGTTTCTACTAATTTCAAACCCCCTGTAAACCTTCAAAATGCTTACAAATTTAATCATTTTGTCTTCATGTCATACTGTTTACATGCAATAAATACCTTTTTTGTATTTGCTTTTCTTCATGGTGTAGCAATTTTAATGGCCAGCAGTGTATTTTAAGATTAATATCATATTCCCCAAAATTGAAACAATTATTATCATAGACAAGCAGCTTTTATTTTATGGCTATTCCTTAAATTTGCTCTAAAAAAATCTTGCATTTAAATTGATATTAGGAATGTAAATATGATTTAAGTCATTAAATTTCTTCATGAATGAGTATGTCTAAAAATTTTGTTTATAACAATACAGAACTTTTTAATTTAATTTACTGAAACATAATGAATGCTTTATCAACAGAAGGTTTTATTCGGTAGTTAAGTTCCATTCTTTGAACTATTCTTATATTAAATTAATTACTGAAACAAATATGTTTCCTATGCAGCATTTTCTTGATGAATCATTTAGGGAAAATTTTGAAATTAAATACATATTTATTAAATCTTCTATTTGGAAAATTAATCCAGTAACACAATAATGGCATGCTTCATATGTCACCCTCTCCTCAGTGTCCACAATATTTGCATCATTTCTGAATACTATTTCATTGCAAATTGCAGTAAGTTTATTTATATTAACTTACTGCTGTAAAACTTACTGTAGTTAGTTTTCAGGAATAGAATTTATCCAGGGTTCGTACACATTTCTGCACACGAAAATTAAGTACTTTTAAGGACTTTTAAGGACCATTAATGAAAAAATTAAGGACCTATGAGCAAATGGAAACTGAATAAATTCAATTAAAAATATTATTCTATGCCTGAATTTCCCTTTTGTAATACCATCTTAAAAATAAAATAGATCCCCAAGTAGTATGCATTATTACTAGAATTAACTAACATAATTATTAATAGGTTTAAGAATAAAATAAATTTCATGCAGTTTATCAAATAGCATTAAATATTTTACACTTATAATAGTTGGACATGTTTAAAAAAAGATAAGTGACATTTACGTTTTACTAATAGTTAGCCTTAAGCTTTTTTTTTTTTTTTTTTTTTAATGTCTCATTTTGTCACATACTTGGTCAGTATAGAGGTTTAGCAAATAGTAGGGAGATTTTATGTCAAACGGCATAGGTTAAAATGAGAAGTGAGATCATAATCAGCATGATTCATAACAAAAGACTGAATGTTGTCAATAGAGAGACCTGCTGATTGGAAACAAACCTGAAAAGCCTGATATAGGCACAATTGGTAAGTGTTGAAAAGTTAGTCAAGCTCTGCTTAATGCAGTTAATTTCATAGCTTTATGTAGAGTTCTAGGGGTTGTAACCCAGTTAATATACGTACTTTAAGGTTCCAATAAGCCATTAAAGCACCAGAGGTGATAAGTTGTTTTATATACAAGTCTCAGTAGATGCAAAGAATAAGTTTTACTTGATGGTGTTGATGGTTATTTGATGGGTGATGGTTACTTGATGGGTCCTCCACACAAAGGATTTGGTGATAACTAAAACCCCAGTCGCCATTTAAAAGGGGGAGTATATAAGGTATTTCTCCCACCTTCTTGGTGACCCTTCGTGGTGTAGTGGTTTGCACACTGGTATCGGTATTCCAGAGGTTTGCGGTTCGATTCCCGGCGAAGACGTTGTTAATTTTTCTAACGTTCCTGCTTTCAAAAATACTTAATGTCTCTACAAGCCTTCCCAAACATTTTGGCTAATTTATATCGATTTTCTTCTCTTTAATTATCGATCTTTTCTGACAATAATTAGAAATTTGTTTCTATGCAAACCAATGTTCTCGCTAGTTTCTGTGTGCTTTATCTCCTAACTTGTCAACCTCTCCACAATGTACCTATGAAGGTTTACTTCATCTGGTTAAAGTTAAATAGTCCCACCCCCGATAGACGTGAAGCAAATTATCACTGTATCTGAAAGTAACTACAATATAAGACAAAGAACTTAGAACATAAAGGCATGTTCTGATGCTAACAAAGTCAATTACAGCTCACGGTGACGTAATTAAACAAGAACAGTCAAATTCAAACTAAAAATGTGGACTAGTGGTCAAAGATAATACAATTTAATTTTAATTTAATCTGGCTCATATGAGGAAACAGAAATGGGAAATTATAGTAAAGGCTGAAATGATAAACAATTGGGTAGTTTACATAATAATAACTGCACATATCTTTGAAGAATAATTTTCTTTGTGTATTCGGTTTCTTTTTTCAACGTGTTTTTTTTTAAATTTTAGAATTTTTGGATTTAATTAAGGATTTCTATTATTCTAAAAAACACTAAATGCGTTTAGAATGTACAGAAAAAGAGGCTAATTTTATTTCTTTACTAATATGAACATTCAGAAGAAATATGAAATATATATGGTAAAGGCCAGTTACAGAGCAGGTGTGGCAGAATTTTTAGAATTTAGTGACACACAGAACAACAAAATCTAGAAATGGCAAAACTTTTAGAATTTAGAGCAGGCATTGGAAGCAGAATTTAGATAGGCACTAGGCAGCAGAATTTAGGATACACAGAGATTGCATCAGGTGGGAAAATGCATAGCACCAGCTCTGTGTACGATGCATTTAGACACATTAGATGAATCTTTTAAATTGTAAGTTTTCAATTTTTTATTAATAAAAAAATCTCTTTCTATAATGCCTGCCAAAGTGATAAGATTAGAAGCATTTTTGATATTTTCCATGCTTTTCGTCTAGTGAAAAGTAGAGAAAATAAAGGGAAGATAAACATGTTAAGAAAAAAGATTCTGGTATCAGAAGTAAAACATTCAAATATTATGTTTCCATTGTTCTTCTAGACGTTCTCCAAAAAGTAAGAAATTCATCACAAACTTTCTGTAAAATGTATCCATTACATGTTGATACCATGGAGACATTTTTCATTTTGTCACATATTTCTCAAATCTTCTAGTATCGTGGGTCTATAAATCTTGGCTTCAAATCTTTCTAAACTTTCCATGCTGCAATGTCAAAAATACTAAAGAAAAATTATCCCAACCAATTCTGTAACAGCAAAAGCCAGAAATAGTTATAAAAAAAAAAAAAAAAAAAAAAAAGGGGGGGGAAAGGAAAAAAGTGTAAAAATTAATTTTATAGAGAAAAAACTGATGCATATTCTGAGAATTTTGAATAATCTGAGACAATTACATGGGAAAATGCTTACTATGAAAAATTTAAAAAGAAGACATTTTAATTAATTACATAGCTAATTTTGCTTTTACTAAGAGCGGTTTCGTAAATTATGCTTTATAGCTATATAACTTGTTTATTTTTCAGATTTAAAATATTGTATAACAAGCTGCCAAAATGAAACTTTAAATATGACAGCGCAAAATAAAAATGTTTTATTTTAATGTTATTTTTTAAATATAATTCTAATATATTACCATTACTTTAATGAAATTTATAAATGTTATGATGTTTTAAAAAAATCATAAAAAAAAAATCTGAAAATTCTGAAAAGCTGAAAAATTCTCAGATCTCGGAATTAAAAATTTTCTATAGAAACTGATCTTAAAATTGCCAAAATGTTGACAAGTTGTCAAATTTAGAACCATTTAATAAAAGAAGAATTCATAACCCCAAAAGCGAAAAGTTGTTTATGAGCTCTTTATTAGAAAAAATGAATTTCGAAATGCTTATGTTTCACTTCTTGCTTAGAAACTCGAGTATCCCATCATTTATATTAGAAATAGAAACAAATTAAAACCCATGAACCCATTCAAAAGATAACCATATATACATCAGTGAATTGCCAAAAATATTCTTCCAAAATGCTAATTCACACTCAAAATAGCAGTCGTAAAAACAGAGAGAAATTTCAGATGATTAAAATTAAGGACCTTCTACTGATTTTGGCCAAAATTAAGAACTTTTAAGGACCAAAAATCGATTTTAAAAAATTTAAGGACTTTTAGGACCGTACGAACCCTGTTACCTTTGGTCTGGATCCATCAAGACTATAAAGGCAGAAAGAGGATAAAATTAAAACAAGATAATACCAAGCTTTGCCAAGACTTAAAGAAAATTATGTTTTTCAATGTATAAAAATGGAAGCATCTCAGCTGTAAAAATAGTTTAATTTTAAACACTGTTCTTATATAATGTATTCAAAATTGAATTAATAAGTGTTTTTAAAACCTATAATATTAAACAATTTTCCCTTCCACTGGCAAATGATAAATCAAATTTATAAAAGTGTAAGTATAATAAGTATTTCACTGTCAAATGATAAATCAAAGTAAAAAAAAAAAAAAAAAAAAAAAAAAAATGGGGGGAAGGACCTTTCTCACTATAGCATTAAGACTCTTTTCTTAAGATTGGGGCCCACCAGCGGCCGAGCGGTAAAGTCGCTGAACACTGGTAGTTCGGTCCGAGGTTCGAATCCCGTGAACGGGCTGGCTGCATGGGCATTTTAGTAGTTTTCCCCATGTGTAATGTGTATACGAGCCAGTTTCCCTTAGAAAGTCCTCCACGAAGGCATCCCTCCCCTTCGGCAGATAGCCCTCGAGGCTTTGCCATAATCACACACACACACTTTTCTTAAGATTACATATCTTATTTTAAGAAAATCTGCAATATTCAAAGAAATAAAGTAGCTACTTCCCTTAACACAAGAGTACACTTCAACACACAAGATTAACTTCAATACTTTTACAATTAAAAATAAATAATCATTATTATTTAAATATTTTTAACACATACTTTTGACACTTATGTTAAGATAAAAGAATGAATAATATATGATGATATTTAATAAAACACTGCTTACAAAAAGAAAATTCTGATTACGCCATACTAAAATTAATATTAATATATTAAACCTTAGAAATTAAAAATTAAGACAATTTGTTACAATTTTATTTTAAATAGAAAATGATGGATAGATAGATAATAATTCTTTTCTAATTGTGAAAATGATTTTAAACATGGAGTTTTTATTAGAGTTGAGCTGAATTTTGCATTTTCTTGAACTTGATTCCATATCAAGGTTTTCAAATCCTTCATACAAGAACAATAGAGGGGGGAAACTTGCATTTAATTTTTAAATGTTTCTGATTCAAGCAAAACCCGAAATCTGCATTTAATGCCAAACAAATTTAAGACTAGAGTTTTCTAACATACACCTATATTTATTACGAATATATAAACAAAATTCTAAAAATAAAATATATAATTAAAACTTTTGAATCTTGAGGTTCATTTTCGGAATGTAATTTGACAAAGAATATTTGAATAACAGTCCAAATTTTTGCATTCTTCTAGAAACTTCTAAAATCAAAGCAACTGTAAGGAAAGTAGGGACATTTAAAGAGTTAGAAAAGATAAACATTTTTAAGAATTCAGAAAAAGTACTAAGCACTTTCAAGGACAATCTTTATATACATGTATAATAATAAAGTAAAGGAAAGAGAAATATTCAGATTTTTTACTTAAAAAATTACCATTCCAACTTACTCTGTATCTACTTAATTTCATCTTATATGGAATATGGTGTCTTACATACTTAATTTTTGAGATTGCTGTTGAAGGTGATGTTTAATGAGTATAGTTAAGTATAGTTTAGAAAGTTTCCTTAAATTTCATGTCATTTGCTTGCTAAACCCTTATATAAAATGTAAACAAAATTTACCTTTCAAAGGTTTTCAGTTAAAATATTTTAAACATTTTAAAACTGGGATTTAAAAGATTAAATGATGAAAAATATGTGAAGATTTAATTTTTAATCAATTTGTTCTAGATTTGCAAGATTCAAACATTCTATTTCTAGTTTTTATAGCCATATTTATATTAAGAAATACAGTTTTCAATTTTAGAAACATTAATATATTTGTAGTTGATTAAAAATTTTAGTTTTAAAATAAAAAAATTTTATGACTGTATTAAAATAAAGGAAAATGCTTTTATTTTTAGAATATTTTCCACATTAAATAAACTATTCTAACTGTTACAGGTATTCAAAATTAAAATCTGGTGAACAAAGACTATTCAAAGCCCAAATTTTATGTTTAAATACTATAGCACAAAACAGTACCTCTCGTCGAAGAGGTGAAACTTCGAACATGTCTCCAACTTCTTCTCCAGCCTTCTGGATACTAGGGCCAACATCAGCGTCTTTTGCAGGTCCATTAGGCATGATAATCTAAAATTTTACAAAATTTTATTAAAGAATTTTGCATTACATAAAATGTTTTTTAAAAATATAAAAGAAACATTTAAAAAATTGAAATCTGGCTTCATATTCAAATTTCAGTTTTAAGCTAAACCAGTTATGGTAGACAACTAGTTCAAGAATTAATCCTAAAAAATTCAAGATACAAAGCATAAAAATCTTATATTTAAAATGAACTCCTCAAAACAGCAATACTGCAAGAGAGAAAAGATTAGGTTAGATTAACTAATTAAGGCACAGCAACTCAAGCGCTGTATGTCTATAGGGGAAAATGCCTTCATGGAGGATTTTCTTAAGGGAAACTAAGCTTTACTTACAGATAAATTTGGGATGTAAAAAATTTTAATTCAACCTAAATTAATAATACATGCTGAATTTTATAATTATTTAAAGAGGAAAAGACAATTATTCAAGATATAGCTGAGCCCCTTGACTTTTTCACAGCATCATTTGCGCATGAGGCTTGTAATAAATGTTTCCTATAAAAAAACCAGCATAATTTTTATTTTCCAAGACTCAAAGTCATGTAGTGAAAATAATAACATATGACTGTAGATGCTAACAATGCTAATTAAAATACAAGTATGTAAATAGGATAGCAAAATAGCAATTTGCATAGAATGACTTCCCTCATGACATCAGTCACTTTATTCTGATTATTACTATACTGAAGTATTTCATAATTAAATATTTCAAGAAGTATATTCATTAAAAAACAAAACGGCGTTTTGACTTCAAATCGCATTATGAAAAAATTTTTACAAAATTTAATAAATACTGCTTTAGATAAAATATTTTATTCCTATTTTACTTTCTATTAAAATACAATGCTAAGATTATTTTCAAAACTTCAGATGTAAAACTTTCTAAAACATAGCAGATATGGTATTTTGTTTTGGGCCATATTTACATTATAAATGAATCGTGTTTATAACAACTTTTACTACTTGCACATATCAAATCGTTATTATTCATGAATTAAGTAAAATTAATACACTTATATATCTCACATTAACAGTTTATTATTATTTATTTCAACTTTGCAAAATTTAACATTAGACTGTTGATGGTTTTGTCGAAAAGTTACAGGTTATACTGCATTTCAAGGGAACTGCACAGTTTCCTTTATACTGCGTAGAATTTTCTTAAATAACCAATGTCAACTGAAGGATGAATTTTTCTAATTTTAAATTTCAAATTGGCATGCTCCTCTTTATAATTTTACAACACATTCATTTTCATAATTTGCGTTTATTTTTGACCAAGAGATAACATGATCAATTCAATTCATGATCAATTCATCATATCATTCATAATGTTATCAATTAAAAGTAAAAAGTCAAGAGAATATCAAATGATTCAAGGCAAGTACAGTAGTGTCTTGCTTATCCAACATAAAGGAGCAAGTAGATGTCAGATAAAGAAAAATAATGGATCATAGCTAAGAAAGAAAATTTATAATAGTTTGATATTTAACAGGCTTAAGAAAAAGCCTGTTAAATATCAAACTATTATAAATTTTATATATTACGAGCTTAACAATCATGTTTTACAACAAAACAGGAAAAATCAATTGAAAAAAATTAACGTATAGCCACAGAACAGTCTGAAATTAAATACAATACATATAGTAGTACATCAAAAGTTCTGGATCTGTATGTACATGTCAGTTGTAGATTTACCATTTAGAAGATGGCATGATCACTGCAAACAAGGCAGGAAATGATTCCAAATGCAATGACAGTAAATCGTTGGGAAGAGATTTGTATGCATGTACGTATATGCATGCTGTCTACTGTAGTGAACAAACTGTAGTAATTATTTAAAACGAAATTTAAATAAAATTAATTTTTTATTATTACTAAGGTTATTTTAAGTAGAAAAAATACAAACATTTTCGTTTAACTTCTCTAGATTATTTGTATGCAACAAAGGGTTAAAGAACTAGTCTGAAAATTTCACCATTCATCCATGCACTTTCCTTATTACTGTACTTTACAGGAACAGCACTTTTTGAAACTCTTTTAAAGGCTCCAGGATTTTGGGACTTTGTAATTATAAGGTTCATTTTGAGATTTACTGCAGCACTATTGTGTGCTAAAATTATCAGCCTTTCTTTATTATGCTTATAGACAGAAGTTGTCACTTCAGTTCTGGCTGTAAGACTCTTACTAAGTAACATTTTGTAATTAAAGTCTGACTTATCACCGTTAAGTATCTGACAATCTGTTAGGCTTTCAATTTAAATTTAGAAATAAAGCCTATTTCTTCAAAATTTGATGGTAGTTTTTCACCACAAACACTTAACTGAAGGATACCATAGTGTTTCTTTCATCAGTTGAACCAATCAGCACTTACTGTGGAATCTAGGTCCCTATCCTTCAAATCATTGCAAAAAATACAACAACTTTTACAGTAAAATTGACCCTGAAATATGCATACCTTTGTCCCTGAACTGTGTAAAACAAACATACAGAGCTCCATTCAGTTTTTCACTTTTTTATAGTCACATATTCTCACATATTTTCTTTTTTAATGCACATTCCATACCTCTTGATGAACACTATACTCCCATTTCTATTTGTTTCCTTTTCTATCTCCTACTATTATCTGTTTAACACCAAAATCATCAGCTACATTCTACACTGTCTCTACCTTGTCTCGTCTTTTGACTGCCTCAGGTTTTTGTTCAAATCATACAATAACTTTCTTTCTTTTCGTCTCCATTCTTTTTGTGCTTGTGTAAATTTCAACTTTTAAACAGTCACAGTGTAGATGGGCAAGCCCTGTGGTACAGTCGGAAGCAACATAACAAAGACTGCATTCACAACTTGCAGTTCTTGCTGCTGACTGATGCACTTTTTTTTGTGCATGTGTGCAATGGTTTGCCAGACTACTGTATATTAAAAATCTTTAGCTAATGAAAAAAAAAAAAAAGTTTTCAGTTGAAAAAAACTGCATAATAAATTGTTACACAAAATTATATAAAGTGATCAAAATGAATTCATATAGATTCAGTTTTTAATTTTATAAGCTTGGGGCAAAAAGTAATAATGAAATGCTTCAAAGAGATGAAGCTCTGCCGGAAAAATAGGATTACGGAGGCAAGTCTATTTAACATTGAGTAAATGGGTATCTCACTAAATTGGCTCGATATTATCAAACTGGTGATGGTTTTGTCGACTAATTTTTGTCACCAAATTTGGCGAGAAATTGCTCAAAGTCATCCAACTTAGTGACCATTTTGCGACATTTTGGTCCAGTCCCTACATAACTATAATTGGTACTGTAATTGATATCTATATGTAACTAAACATATCTCACCGTCATATGCCTTCCAATAATATCAGAAATGTAGAGTACCAGAGATTTCCGATGAGGTGAGGAATTATATAAGACTGGGAGAGCATTAGTTTCTCATTTCAGAATCAAACAGTATGATTTGGATATCTCCGTGTGAGCTTTGGATTGTATTTAATGTTCATAGTAATTTGAAGGATAACTATTAATTGTACTCTGCAATACTGTGAAGAGCTGTATGATTATTTTTGTGGAAAGTTCTAGAACTGTGAAATGTTTCTTTTGATAAAATAAATTTTATCACACTATCATCAGTTCTGTGTCCATTCAATCTATTATGAACCCATAAACATGTAACACTATTTGGTGTCAGGAGCGGGGTTGAATGCCAGTGACAATAGCAATAGAGAAGCAATTAAAACAATTGTTGAAAACCTTCTGCATTTAAAGAAGTGATGAAAGAAGGCCAAGTATTCGTTACAGAAAAGATTAAAGCTGTTCAAGTAAAGATGGCAGCTGGCCAAGAACCCATTAAAGAAGAGATTAAAGCTCTTTAAGAAAATATGGAAGCAGTTCAATCTGTTAAAGAAAAGACGAGACCTTTTCAAGAAAAGATTGAAGCAGGTCAAGAAGAAATGAAAAGAGAGATCACTGCCATTATAGAAAACAAGTTCAAGGCGTGGAAGGCAGTACAGATATGGTTGAAAACATAAATGGAGTAACTGAAGGAAGAGTTCTGCTGCTGAACAGCAAATCAATGAAAGAGTTCCTTCTATCTAACAATTAGTTTCTGCTGCAGTTGCCAAAGAAGTTGACAGCTTCAAGAAATTCCTAATTACAGCCCGAAACAATTCTGATGCTTTTAAATTCTTAGCCATGTCTTCTCATCCCTCTCTACCCACATATGATGAAAAGACTTCCTGGCAAGTGTAAAGACTCAGATCTCGATAGTGGTGGATGTAAATGAATGTTGCAGCATGTACTCCAGTGACCTGCATTAAATGACCCAACAGTCCACCAGTCTCTGTGCCTTTAGAAAAGCCTAACATCGTAGTTACTGCAGAATGCACAACTAAGGAAGGATAAAGAGAGGAGTGTTGCCAAACATGTTAATCAAGAATTTCAAGATGTTTTATCTTTTATCCCACTCATCTTTTGACATACAACAAACCAGTTCGGTTCAGATTAGAACTGGTATGGATCATCCACCAATCAAGCAAAATCCAAGATGTCAACAGGACTAACAGGAAGAGGTAGGAAAACTTACAAATGACATGGAAGAAAGTGACGCTATCAAGCCTTCAAGTCCTTGGGCCTCTCCCATCATCATGGACAGAAAGAATGATGGTTTAACTAGATTTTATGCTGAATATCACCAGCTGAACAATATCATGAAGAAAGATAGCTTACCCTCTTCCCTGAACTGATGACATTCTGAACAGCCTTTCTGGAAGCAAGTGATTTTCAGCATTCAAGTTAAAGAGTGCATCTTGGCAGGTAGAGATACACACTGATGAGGGGAAAAAGAAGAGAGCATTTAGTACCAGACAAAAACATTGGCAGTTCAAGTTGATGTTATTTGGATTATATAATGCAGTGCCAACATTTGAACATCTCAGGGAGACCATGTTGTGAGGCCTTTCCTAAGAAGCCTGTCTGTCTGATATATA